TAACACAAGGAGAGAAACCAAAACAGAATTTTCCTAATTCGTCAGGACCAGGAGAACCGGACATTGTACCAGCCACAAACATTTGTAATTCACTACTACAAAAATAGTGTATTTTTCGATAAATGCAGCAATAAGATATTCCAATTCCATGATAGCATATTATCTGAGGTAAAGAATGTTATGTATAAACAAGAACATTGAAACCAGACTTTGTAAGGTGCTTAGTGCCTTGCTAGAAGGATGTAATGTGATTGTATCATGAATAGCTATTCTGATATCTTTCTCCATGCACAGAATATGTGTGTCTAATTGAGAAAAGGAAGCCACAAGAATATAGGTATGTGGTGTTTATTACATGCATGTAGTCAAAAGACAACTTTGCAGCATTCATAGTAGACAGGAAGGAAAATAAAGAATATGAGGTACCATAAAGGTACATCATGATAACAGTCACAAATTCTCCTATACATATTTGGTACCATAAAGGAATTACCGAAGGGCAGGCCTGGTGCAGTGGTGAGAGCTGTCTCACTGAGTCACCAGGTCGCGGGTTCGAAGCAACCTCTCCGCAGATTTTGCGGGGGAGGCTTGCCTCGGTTTTTCCCTTCCCCAGACCCCACTCATGTGGGAGTCTCCGGCACTGGGTCTGCCCTTTTTTAATCTTAGCTCCCCCAATGTATATATTTTGGACAAAGAGTATGACATCACCTCAGGTACCCCAAATTTTGGGCAGAAGAAACGAGTGAAGAAGTCATAACCAGATCCAGCAGGCGCTGGCCCTGTAACAATAATTCCTCTGCCCGAACATATTTTGATTTCATGAAAGTTAGGAATGATATCGGCAACCTCTTTTCCTGATGAAAGCTCCACCTGAAAGCCAAGTCAGATTTTCTTTTCATGAATTACCTGAACAAACTGAACTACCTCATTACCACTCTTATCATTGCCTCTAACTTAAAAGTTTATGCTGCCTCCAAATAATCTTAGTGCCGTTGTATCTAGGTTTATGATGCTGCTGAAAAAAAAATGTTTGGAATATCTGATATTCTGATATCTCCATTCCTGGACAAGGAAAATGATCATGGTAGTAGTCGCACTAAATTGGTTCTTTCCATCCATTTTCATGTTGGTAAATTTTGGATATAATGCTTGGGCATCAAGTGCATTACTAGGCACAGTCGGTAGTAGACAGGCACCTACATCAGTAGCATTAGAAAATCTAGACATTTCAAGCAGGAAAGGAAAATAAGGATTAGGATAATTACAATGAGGTCACCAGCGGTCGTTGACTTGTGAACGCTGACAATGGAGGCTCCGTTCAGGGTCTCGGGGATGGACGGCAGCTCGGAAGGATGGCAATCAACAAGGTCAATCATGGGGAAATCCAGCTCAATGAACAGTTTCCCCTCGCCTGACACGCCCGTGCTCTCCGGCGCAGGAACCTTTTTGGCCGTAAGAATCCCCGACTTGGTCGAGAACTCGATGAGCGCCTCGTGCTCCGCGAGGACGGATGTGAAGAGGAAGTGGGCGGAGGCCAGCGTCGCGTGGCCGCAGAGCTTGACCTGGAACGGCGTCACGAACGCCCGTGTCAAGAGAAGACTCAAGACCGAATTACGCGCAGCTGTGCGACGATGAGTCGGGTGGGTACCTCAGCGGCGGGGGTGAACCATCGGAGCTGGAACCGCGGAGCGGCGCCGGACGCGGAGGAGTCCCGGAGGAGGAAGGCGGTCTCGGAGAGGTTGAACTCGGCGGCGACGGACTGCATCCACTGCTCGTCAGCGGCCTTGGCGGCGTCCTCGAGGAGGCACACCGCTGCGGGGTTGCCCTTGAACGGCTCCGCCGTGAAGGCGTCCACCTGCGACGGCCACGGCGACGATGTTAGGTATCCTGCGAGCTGATAAGAAAATCGCTCCCGTCCAAACAGAGCAGTATTACTGACCACTGCGTACTGGATGCCATTCTTGCCCATTCCTGCGACGAAGAAACAGCTCCGGGCTCCTGTGCTATGGCTGCCGCCGGCAGCTCCTCCTTTCTACTCCGAACAGGGTTGCCTCGAAGCAGGTAGCCGTCTGCTTTTGCTTTTTTGTATGCATGATTAAGGACTTGTTTAGTTTCTCTCAAAAGTTTAAGTTTACGCAAACGTATGCATAGAGTATTAAATATAGACTAAAAAATAAATGATTACACAGATTACGACTACTTTGCGAGACGAATCTTTTAAGCCTAATTAGACCATAATTTGACAACGTGGTGTTACAGTAATACATGTGTTAATGATAAATTAATTATGCTTAATAAATTCGCTCGCAGTTTACCGACAGATTCTGTAATTTATTTTTTTATTAGTATCTGAACACTCTATGCAACACTTCACGTATCACACGATATGACACTGTAAAACTTTACATGAACAAGGCCTAACTTGAATGAGTTGTCCTCACTGCTGAATGTTGCAATCAGCAGTGACGACATCGAGCTCGTGGCCTCTCCCGAAAATACAGGTTTGCTTAGGACTACCAGAATTCTCACATCAATTGAACTGCATCGTGCGAAATCACTAAGGCTCAGTTCGTTTCTACTGTAATTCGTCTTTTTCAGTTTGTTTTTTCAGCCGAAACAGCGTTTTTTTCTCACAACAAATCAGACAGAACAATATTTCAACTTATTTTTTCAGCGAAGCGAACGGAGCGATTAAGAGCCTAGAAATGTTGTCCCCACGGCCGATGTTCCAGTCAGTGTTCTTTTTCGAGCACTGTTCACCCTAGAATAGTTGTCTCTCCGTTCTAAATTATAAGACGCTTATACATCGCTTTTATTATATATTAGACATAGTGTGGGTGTGTGTGTGTATATATATATATATATATATATATATATATATCAAAAATTATGTGTATAAAAAACTCAAAACGTCTTATAATCTGAAATGGAGGGAGTATAATCCACAGGCAGGTTGTTCAGATTTATGTTCTTCGTCCGGCACGTAAATCTAATCCGTCGCTCCAATTGAAGCCAATGCAAATAGAAATTTAATGCTGATTTGGACGCATGGCTCACACACAGCCGCCCAATATCGTAGACATGGCTTGTCTGACATTGGTATACTATTGCTACCTCAGTTCTAAGGCCATATTCGCTGATTGATGCTGGTGCTGGTTTGAGCTGACTGATGCTGGTTTTTTTGAGAGGAAAACACTGTTGACTGGCTAATTTGGACTGGCTAAAACCAACAAGCAAACAGGCTGTAAATTATAAGGTATTTTGACTTTTCTCTATATAATTGTTATTATGTACCTAGATAAAATCTATGTATCTACAAAAACTAAGATAACTTATAATTTAGAACGGGAGAATACAAGTTAGCGTGTTGTGCTGGCTGCCTGGGCGCTAAGTTTGCAATCAGCACTGACAGCATAGAGCCATGAAAATGAAATGAAACTACCGCGCGAGGCAGGAAACTGACAATGTATAGGATATGCAACGATTTGAGTCAATTGCGATGCAAACATAACATTCGGTTGTGTCGCAGGAGGGGGTAACTTATGTAGCACTTGAAGACCAAAAGAAACATCAAATGAAACAGTATATATAGGAAAAGTTTACAAATAGTGCCGTGCTTTATGCATGGGTGACAGAACTACAAAAGTAATAATATAAGAATCTGTGCTGCGATGGACAAATTGCTGATGGTACTAAGCCTGCATATGTGGTAAAAAAACAGAAATGTGCTGTAGTTTGCACGCCAAGCGATTGATCCCTGCGTACATATCAAAGGCAGGCTTAGAACCTGATGTTAAAAGTAAGGGAGAGTAACAAATAGAGTATTCAATTGGTAAAAGGTTTCTGGGGTGTGAGTGGGATGGGAATTATTACTTAGATAACAAAAGGGCAGTGCAGGTCCATGGATCATGGAGGCCATGGAGTTGTATTTAGAGGGCACAAAACCTATGTAGCCTTAACTATGATGATGGCGTCTAATACAGGAGTACAGCTCCATTTAGACACCAGAAATTACTTTATTTTTTAGTTAACCAAATTTATGTGGGTTGGAACCATGATGACGTGGTTCCAGATTTCATAACGTTCCCACGTTTGGAAACTGAGAAGAAGCGATTTCGACATTCGCAAGGCACGGCCAAAAGTAGTTACCTGTTATCTTGTAGGATGAGGTATTCCTGGTAGTCCTATAGAACCAAATACACTGTGAGGCCCTAGTGAAAATATCATAGAACAGCTAGAGTCAGAGAGGCAATATGCAGTCATAGTAGTTTAAGCTGTGAGAGGAAATAACAGATATTTTGATCCATACCTGCTCAATCGTTTTGTTGCATTACAACAAACATATTACTTGCTGATTATTCTACTGTCTGAAAGAAATATTAGCCAAGGAATTGCCTAGCTGAGCACATCAGTCCATTGAGCTAATTTCATCTTCGGCTGGAACAATTTGAGTGCTTAGGCACTATGGATATGATGCAAAGCACTATACCCATAACAGAGTCCATAGGCAGTTTGGATACAAATTCAGATGTATTGTCATGATGTGACAAAGAAGTGCAAAGTAGCAATGCAACAATATTGGCGAATCGGCAAAATATTTGCTCTAAAACATAAGTGTACCCAGCTGTAGTAGCACCTTCCTCTTATCAGTTTCCTAGTGTATGGCAGACCTACATGATGTTCAGTAAAAGGAACAGCAGCAATGTACTTGAAAAATAGAAGAATGATATCCAAACTAATGAAGGAAATGTCCAAATTAAACTGGAGATGGAGAGGCACTCTGTAAATTTTGGCATACTTCATAAGATGGATTGAATATAACTTGAGATTCAGATAATTGACCCCAAATATGATGTAATGATGAATTATTTCCTGATGAAATCTTTTTCGGCATAACTGCAAACGGAAGCATCAATAAAGGCAAGAACAGCGCATGAAGAGGCACCACCATTGGCATAGATAAGCACGATGAGCCAAACATCAATCACTTTGTGATCCCTTCAATGGGCAACTGATTTCAGCTCCTTCAAGAAAGCTTCACAAAGTATCTGCATTCACAGGAAAGCACAGCCAAGAAGAAGCTCGAACATATAGCTGGTAAAACGATAAAAAAAGTTCCAGGGGAGAGGTGGCCCAATCTACAGTACTTTGGTGCAAACTAATCAGAAGATTCAAACAGCTTACATTTTAAACCGTAGTTTGCACACATGACATCTGATGGCAATTCCAGATTTATAGGTAATCATAATTGCGTTACGGACTGATCACATGACAATGTAAGGTTCTAAAGATAGCTGCCTAGAGCAAACAATGTTAAAGAGCTAAAGATACCCAAAAACCTAAATAAAATGCAAAAGCAAAGAGTTTTTGTACGGGCTATAGAACAAGTTATGTCCAACAGACCTAGGTGTAGTGGCAAAGGTGGCATATATGTGTCAGGCAACTATGATTCAAATATAACATTTAGTTTTGGTGCATGTATAAACAGAAAATATTGGCATATTTTATACATGGAGAATAGGACTATAAAAGTAAGGAGTTTTCGTGCTTCCATGGCAGTTGCTGATGGTGGGGAGATGCTGATCTTGCATATGTGCTGATTAGAAAGCGCATAAATGTACTCTGTTTCCGCCTCAAGCAATTGATACCTGTGTACAGATTGAAAAGGAGGTTTGAAACTTGATAGTGAAAGTAGGGAGTTCACATGTTACTACGTTATGGTTATGGCTGTCGAACATTTTTGTTGCTGCAATATGAGCGGACAAAAGAAAAGTCGGTGTCCATATATATAAATGGAAATTATCCCAAATCTTAGCATTGTACAGGCAAGACCAAAATAACGTAGCAGATCAAAACATGAAGAGGAGCCGTAATTATTTGTAAACTTTGATTCATCAATTCCCTTGCACAAACCTTTGAAGAGGAAGTATAAAATTGGGGGTACCTTGTGAGCAGCGCCTATGAAGATAGATGGTTCTGTGCAGAAGAGCAGCGGTGCCGGAGCTTTGAGGGAGTGCGTCGCCGGCCAATACACGAACCCTGAACGGAGCGCGACGGGGCTGACGACGAACCGGGAATGACGGCACAGTTGGATTCTTGGATCACAGCAGGAGCGTACGGGCCCCCAGCACACGAGCGTAGCGAACCCCGGCCGAATCTGGAGCACGGAGGATAAAACATAGAAAAGAAGATGACGATATCGATGTGTGCAAAAAGACCGGAACGAAATAGGAGAAAGGTACAGGTAGGCAGGCGACGGAGATTACCCGAGAGGGGCCGGCGCTGCCGCGGGGGCGTAGCGCGGACCGGCGGCGTTCCTGCATTGCGGCGCTCTGCGGGCCGCGCCGCGCGGCCGGCGGAGGGCACAGGCGGGGCGGAGCTCGGGCGGGTGTCGTCGCAGTCGGTGGAGCCTGCAGATGGGGGAAAGGCTGACGGCGCAACCATTTCGGCGCTCTGGCTGAGCCGCGGGCGGGCTGAGGGTGCAGCCGAGTCTACAGTCCGGCGGGGTCGCGGCCCTGCGGCGGTGCTGCAGTGACGCGCCGCACGACCGTCCGAGGGTGCACGCGGTCCCGCGCTCTGGCGGGGTCGCCGCCCGGCGGTGGTGCTGTGGTGCCGCGGCGCGCAGACGACGAAGGTCGTAGGCGAGTGGGCGCTCCGCCGGGTCGCGCGTGAGGCGGCAGAGCTTCCTTCCGGCGCGGCGGCGATGCACGGGCGTGGTTCCCGTGCGTGGAGCGGTGGGTTGGGATGGTGATTTTTTTTCCGAACTGGGAACCTGCATGTAGATTCGGTTGTCGCGTGTGGTAAACGATCGTAAATGTAAATTTAAGTGGTAAAAGTATTTTTCTAGCACACAAAACAATCGACCGTACTTATCGTAAACCAGACAACCGAACACGCCGAGCACAACGGGAGGCTTCCAGATAGCGGGGACGTGGTACAGCTAGAAGGTGCGTTAATGGTTAATGGGCATAGAAGGTACAGTAACAGGTGCAAGCTGCAGTAACGGGTGATACTGTAGATGAACAGGAAGTTGAGTCTGGAGAGCACCCGTTACTGTATATCCTGCGAGTTGGGAGCATCGATCACCTCCAAGAGAGTATTAATCGGTGTTCAATGTTTGCATTAATCATTTAATCAGTGTTTAGATACACTGCCTGTGAATTTGGTATTATGCCTGTGGATTTGGTATGATGCCTAAGGGAGCCAAGGCATTTCTTGGCTCTCAAATTGGTGATGCAGTTCAATTCCTGTGAGAACTCCGGTAGTCCCCAGCGACCCTGTAGTTGGTATCCTATTTCAGTACATTTTCGAGAGGCGACAAGCTCGATGTCGTCACTGCTGATCGCAACATTCAGCAGTCAGCACAAGGCATTCACTCGTGTTTTAGTCATCAGTACACCCGTTTGACCTTTCGAAGACCGGCATCGGAAATATTGTCATCAGAACAGCTGTGAGAGAATTCTGGATGAATTTGGATGAATCAGCACAAGGCATAATACCGGAGCCCGGAGCTGTTTCTTCGTCGTCTGCGCAGCCGGCGGCGGCCATAGCCCAGGAGCCCGGAGCTGTTTCTTCGTCGCAGGAATGGGCAAGAATGGCATCCAGTACGCAGTGGTCAGTATTCCAGAAAAACCGAGGTCATACACTCTGATTCCTTAGTCTGGGCGCAGTATATCTAAACAGCTTACATGGGTCGTAAGAGATTTAATTTATTCGCTGCTGCAGAGGAAGTATGCCGCACAAACTGAAGATAGCCCAAGTCATTGAGAAGCTCAGATCTGGTCCAGGATCACCTCTGCACCAGAAACCTTGAAGTCGGATGGTGCTTCCTCAACATTGAAAGCCTTGATCTTACCATTGTCAACAAAAGCAGACCACCTAAAAATGTTGTGAACATTTAGACCAGAAGACAGAAATCAAGCATAAGATGTGTTGTCATTACGCAAAAGCACTAGAAATTAAGCATACTTTCCTTGCTTAATGGGGAAATGTAAAAGATACTCTAAGAACGGTTGTTATCATGTCAGACAGGGGTGTCCTCTATAGTATTATGAACCTAGTGGAATGAAAGCAACAATTCACAATATGGTGGTCATTCACAGTTTGGAAAAAATCTACATAACCCCTGACCTATTGATTGTGGTCTACATAACCCTCTGAACTATAAAACCAGGTATTGTACACATTAAACTTTGTAAAACCGGACAAATAACCCCCTGGGTGGTTTTGAAAGGTGGTTTTGGTTATGTAGACTTTTTCCTTCACAATTTTGTATGCAGCTATAGCATGTGGTTCAGCTGACAAGGGCATGGCTGGAAATAAATTACATAAAGGTGTCCAAAGAGACATTCAACTAAACAAGGACAGTCAGAACTCAGTAACTCAGTATTAAACTACATAACACCATTCTTCAACTGTAATATAAGGGCACAAGTTTAAGAATGACTGCAAGTTGAGTCCATTAACCTGTGAGAGCGGGCGGCCTAGCAAAGCAGTAGAAAGGTCTATCTCCAAATCCAAGCTTTTGTGGAAACTCCCATCAAAGTCACCGTAGAACTCAATCTATATTTTCCAATCATTGCACATAGGAAAAATATGAATATGCACGCATGATCTCAAGAGAATTAATATAAAATTGTAAATAACTAGCAACTGCACGTAGTCAAAATTGCAGTTTTTTTTTTTGGTTAAGATCCTAAGATGATACATCTGAAACATGTTTCCCAAAAATTTTAAATCTAAATTAGATCATTCAATCATTCATCAGTATAGAGAAATTGGGTGAGCTTTACGAGACATGACATGAAATTTGCATTTGGTAGTTCTATGCACCAAAGGTGAACGGAGTGCAGCAGAAGTATAAAAAAGCACCACATCTGATGTAGAGTCTCAATAATTTAGGTGTGTGACTCGGCATATTAGGTGCGAGAACAAGGAAAACATCACAGGTTGACTGCATATAGGACAATTGTCAATAATAACGAATTACTGAGGAGGATAGGATGGGAATAGAATGACGACAAACATTTATGTAGTTGAGAACACCAAATAAGTAAACACCCCTGACAGCAAAAGGCAGATAGTCCTATCACATTGATAACAGCACAATACTTGGATACATACATTATACACCCTCATTATATTTCAGATTCTCTGCTAAAATGGTAATCCTGTAAAGAATAAAGATTAAAGGGTAGTTACTTACTGCATCTTTAGCCTCTAGCTTTTCTGCCCATCCATTCAGGACATACGGATCATTCACAGCTACACAGATAACAGAGTCGATCCCTTTTGCTTTCAACTTGTCAATATTGTTCTTGTAACTAGGAACATGCGCTTGTGAACAAACCCCTGTATATGCACCCTGCAATAAATTGAAAAGATAGTTGCCAAACCATATAGTCATTAGAATATTTGAAGTGAGAGAATTCTGCCTTTCAGAATAAAAGACGGAGAAAAACAATACAAACAACAACGCCAAAGGTGTAAATTTGCAAGTTTCAATGGACTGAATCGCCAAGGAAACAACAATGACTAGAAACTCTGGGAGTAGGGTGTAATGTGTCACAATCACAATGTTTTCTCATGGCTTAGAAAAACGGAACATGGATTCTGTGTTATGCTCTTACAACATTGTCCTCGAGTATCATGGAGTACACCTATCCTTATTGCCCTATCAGGTGAGACGAATGAAATGTAATGTTTTCTCCTAGGCATCAGAGATGAACATCTCTAGTTTGTAGAAACGACATCCAATATATAAGATACATCATTCAGATTTCACCATGGTCACTGAAACAACATAACTTCCCATTCCCAATTCCTACGTCTATTTCCCAAATCAACGTCCTAGCAATAAAAAACACCCATAATCAACGTTCTACTGAGGCATCCCTAATCCCCAAATGTAAATTCAGACCTAGCAAACCTAACGAAACAATTCCGCGCCAATGTAAACAACGGCCTCATCTAGCGACCCTAAAATGGCCAAACATCTACATGACTACATGGGAGAGCAGAATGGAAGTAGTGGGGACGGAACTTACGGGCAAGCCGAAGATGACCACCTTCTTCCCCTGCAAGCACAAGGACAGCAAGCAAAGAATCCCGGGTCAGCACAACTAAATTGGTCGGTATGGACTATCTAGCAGGAGAAGACATGGCGATGCGGGTGGGAGGAGCAGCGCTGCGCACGTAGAAGATGTCTTTGAGAGGCGTGGTGGAGAACTTGGTGGCGACGCCCTCGTCCCAGGACCGCGCTTTCTGCAGCGATACGCCGGGCGCGGCTGAGACGATGTCGGACCCCACCGACGCGAAGCCCCTCGCCGCGCCCCATAGCGCCGCCGCCGCGGAGCGCCCCGCCCTCCTCGCCAGCGTCGCCGCCATGGATTCCTTTACCTCTTCTGTTTCTCTCTCTCTCCCCCACGATAGTCACAACAGTCCAGTCTCAAGTGCGAGATGGGATCACACAACAAAAAACTTATTTTGGCCAATCAACTATCCTTGAGTCTGTTTTTCCTGGAGACTAGCAGGAGCAGGTTAAGCCACAACTAAAATTACGTTTTTTTAGGACAAAGAGATTTAATTTTAATTTAAGAACTCTCTTATTCTTAAAGATCTACTCCCTACTTTCCAAATTATAAGACATTCCAACATTCATGGAGAGTCGAACCATCTCAAGTTTGACCAAATTTATATGATAAAATAATAATATTTATGATACCAAATAGGTATCATTAGATTTTTTATTAATTATATTTTCACACACACCTAGTTGATGTCATAAATCTTTGTAATTCTCTCTATAATTTTAGTCAAACTTGAGATGTTTTGACTCTCAAAAATATTGAAATGACTTATAATTTGGAATGTAGAGAGTACTTTCTTTAGATTTATTCTAGCAGGAGCTCTTAAATAAAAACCCTCAAATCTAGTATTTTAGTGGACACTGGCATGTTGGATCTACCCATCATTTGACCATATCCATCATTGATCCAATCGACTAGCTGTCACGAGAGAGGGGGAGCATTGGTGACATGACGAGGAGGGCGAAGAGCACCAGGGCACGGGACCTCGGCAGGGTCAAGTGCTTGCTAGCACGAGAGGAGCCGCATTGAATGGACTTGAGTGGAACGGACGGTAAGGACGTCCGAGACGGTAGCCTCACCGGGCTGAGGGGTTTCGCCAAAGGAGCCAGACAGGAGAGGGGAATAGGGCTGCAGTGCAAGAGTGAGTCGGTGTGAAGAAAATTTTCTTGGCAAAGTAGCTTCTTAGCATCGATGGGAGATGGGACTAAGAGTGGAGATTGGAGGGTCTCCACAAAATAGGAACTTGAGTTGGGACTCTATTGGATTAACGTTTTTTTCTGGCACCAAAAACTAGAGTACGACCTCTATTTAGGCCCCTGTTCGCTTCGCTGAAAAAACAAGCCGCAACACTGTTTCGGCTGATTTGTTGTGAGAGAAAAATATTGCTCCGGCTAAAAAAACAAGCTGAAAAAGACGGATTATAAGATAAGCGAACATGACTTTTGAGGTCCATGTTGGAGATGCTCTGTTTGTCTCCTTAACTTAAAAACATTTGGTCGGCTTCCAATGTGTTTTTTTAGTTCATCAGAGATGATTTCCAACTTCACTCTTTAGTGCTGGCAGGTCCAACTTTATAAATTAATACCTTGCACCAAGCTTATTAGCTTTCCTAAATTAATATTTCACTTATTAGTGCTGGCAGGTCCAACTTCGTAACAGCAGCACAGTTTTTTACATTGTACTTGCTGAATTTGCACATGGTAGAGAAACTAATGATACACATTCAGTAAAATTAATTTAATCTGAATTCGTGTATCATGTAGTGACTATTTTCTTCCGGCATAGTGTCTTCACGGTTACTTTTCATCTTCAGGATAGATCAGAAGCTGTGAAGTCATGGCTGGTATCACTACAAAGGTATACTGCTGAATTCAGGAAGCACAGATCACTGAAGTTTCAATGAAGCCAGCTGGATGGAGTTATGCTTGCCATGTTGAGTCTTTTTTCATTAGCACCATTCTCAACAACAAAAAAATGATGTGTAAGTTATTGTCTGGTTTCCTAATTTGTTTAGAGCTGTTTTTTTTTAGGCAAGGCACATATGCATTTTCTTGGACAATAGTCCCAACGGCGGCAGGATGCTGATGATCGTCCAGCATGGCGGCGGGCAACCCCAGTGTGACAATTATCAGCCTATTCGTTTCGGCTGAAACAATCGTGGATTATAAGCCAGAAGTACTGCTGGCTGATTTGGTGTGAGAGAAAAATACTGTTCTGGCTTATAATCCATGATCATTTACGACCAAACGAACAGACTGTATAGTGGTTCATAGGCATGTCTTCATATCATAATTTACATGAACAATCAGCTACTCTGAAACCTAAGCAGGACAACGAATAGTGACATCATCTATCCTGTTTGCAATATAAGGAGTTATATACATCTTCACTCAAAGCCTGATGTTCCTAGGCTGAGTCCAACACAAAACATGCATGGGTCCTAGCTACAATGCAGCTCGTCCTTGGCCCTTTGGTAGCTTCTTTGTTCCAGAGTCTTCCACATCCTTTAATTGGTAATAATGTGGTGCTATCTCTACCAGCCATTCAGGCTTCAGTTCCGTCACCTGGCGCATAAACTCTTTTGTTGTGAGAACTAATTCGTGGTATACTACCCATCGTGGACGTATCTCCACTAATCCTGAACTAGGATGGATATGTACGGTCTGAGGGTTCTTGATAGTCTTATATGCACCATCCGAAAGGATCAAGATTTGAGTCGGTGTAGTGGTGGAAAGATCACCTTAATGAAGCACGGTCACAATATGCCCATATTTATCAATGGAGAGGACACTCAAGATTTTTCTTACAACATCGGATGGTTGTATTTGAGTGAGTCCAAGCCCATTGACTACCTCTACAAGAACATTCAAGCGTGAGTACATTTCATTAGCACTCTCTTTAGGAAGCATCTCAAAAGAATTAACCTTTTTCATTACGAGATGATAGCGTTCCTCACGCTCACTCTTAGTTCCCTCATGGAGCGCACAAATGTTCGACCATAGTGCATGGGCGTCCTTGTGGTTCCTCACCTGGTTAAACACATTTTTGCAAAGGCATCTAAAGATGTGTTTCTAGCCTTTGCATTCCATTTTTCATAGTTCACTTTATCGCCTTAAAGGTGCGTGGGATCCTGATGTTTTGGGAATCCTTGTGAGTCGGCTCTAAGTATTCCAACATCTAGAGCTTCTAAATACGCCTCCATGCGGATTTTTCAATAAGGAAAATCATCTCCCTCAAAGATAGGAGGAGGTCCATCCCCGTGAGATATCTTTCTCTAGACGGTTAAGCCTAAATACGTGAGCACGAGGCTCTGATACCAATTGAAAGGATCAAGATGCCCAAGAGGGGGGTGAATTGTGCTAATTCTAAAATTCTTTGTAATAATTAAACCTTACGTTTAGCCCACTTCACCTCTTGTGCCTAGAAAGTGTTCCTATTGTTCTACCACACAAAAGTTTAGCAACCTATGTTCCAATCCTACTTAGCATGACAATTCTATGAATGTAAAGACAAGAATTGAATTGCTCAAAGTAAATGCTTAAAGTAAAGAGAGGAGAAACGTGGCGATGTTTTGCCGAGGTATCGGAGAGTCGCCACTCCTCACTAGTCCTTGTTGGAGCACCCGCGCATGGGTGTAGCTCCCTCTTGATCCGCGCAAGGATCAAGTGCTCTCTACGGGTTGATTTTTCGACACTCTGTCGCGGTGAATCACCCACAACCGCTCACAACTTGAGTTGGGTCATCCACAAGCTCCGTCGGATGATCACCAAACTCCCAATCACCACCAAGCCATCTAGGTGATGGCGATCACCAAAAGTAACAAGCACGAACTCTCACTTGACCACGACAAGCCTAATGAGAAGGGTGGATGCACACTTTGCTACTCTTACTTTCACTACTGAGGCCTCTCTCTTGGATTCTCAAATCTCAATCATCTCACTAGGACCTTGCTCTCCCTGGCACTCTCATGGGTGTTTCTCAGCTGTTGAAATGAGCAAAAGTAATCCCTCAAGTGAATAGAGAAAGTATTTATAACCTCTCATTCAAAATGAACCGTTATGTGCCACTGCGGGGTGACCGGACGCTCCGGTCAGTTCTCCCCACAACCGAGTAGTTAAGTTGTGACCGGACACTGACCAGCGTCAGGTTAGCACTGACCGGACGCGTCCGATCACGAAAACTGTCCTCTGGAACCTTACTGATGTTGACCGGACTCTAGAACTCAGCGTTCGGTCACTTTGCTGCTCAGCGTCCGGTCAGTAGCCGGAACCTGACCAGCATTCGTTCAGCACTGACCGGATGCGTTCGATCAGGATTCTCCCTCTCTAAAACCTTACTGGAGTTGACCGGACTCTAGCACCCAGCGTCCGGTCACATTTCACTCAGCGTCCGGTCGTATCCAGACGACTTCACCTTGATCAAATAAACTGACCGGACTCTGCGCCAGCATCCGGTCAATATTTGACCCTCTATTCACTTCCAACTCGTAATCATATGTGAATGAAGTTCGCTCCAATTGATCTTAAGGCTATTTAGGAGCTACCTAGTGCTAGATTTGACAAGTGTGCACCACACCTAACCCACTAGACTTACCTAGGTCAAGCTACCTATTCATACCCCCCTTAATAGTACGGCCAAAGGAAAAATAAAGTCATAAACTACTCTAAGTGTCTCTTCAACACCAAACAACACTTAGAACTAGTCAATCCTTAACATTGTCGTCCATCCTTTGAAAACCAAAACGATTTCCATCGTAGGGGCATGACAACCATGATTGCCCAATCAATTGTCATTACCATGACCTAACTTAATTGCATCTGCAAAATACACGTTAGTCACAGTAATCTCGTATTGTCATTAATCATCGAAACCCAACTAGGGGCCTAGATGCTTTCAATCTCCCCATTTTTGGTGATTGATGGCAATACCACCTCGAGTATATAAAAGAGATGAGGTTTTCAACATGCTTGGTTCATATAAGCTTTTGACAATAAGAACAAAAGAGTTAGGCAAGCTTATATGACCCAAGCCATGATGTACTCAAAAGATATGAAATAAGCATGAGTACAAGAAGTAAAGCTCATTTGCATCGGAGTAAAACGCTGAAGCAAAACAAATGAGCATAAACAAGTGATATGACATATATAAATAATTCAAGGTAGAGAGCACACATGTCACATATCATATAAATATCACATATCACGTAAATATCACGCTCACACATATATAGTTCAATGCATGAAAGTAAACATGAATGCATAATAAAGTATCACACATAAAAAGCCAAATGTAAATAGA